CTTAACTCTATATGGCGCACTGGTTACTTTTACAACATGATTATTATATCTTGTACGGGAATATATTTTAACAGTCATCATATATTTAAATGCTTGCATCCAATGATCGTGACATTCTTTACTTTTATTATTAAACCATTCAGGATGTATTCTATTCGTTGCATATACACATTCCGTTACTATCTTTTCAAGGATTTTTGTGGATGCCCAATGATGTTGCCATGTATGATTAAATGCCATTAACTGTGTTTTAATGATATTTATAAATAGAGTTGTTGATCGCACTAATTTCACCACTGTTGGAGCATCTTCATCTGTATTCGGATATTCACGGAATTCTATATATTTTTCATTTGCTGTACATTCATCCATTGGTGTTTTCATCATAGCGTTGCGGCAATTGTCACAATTACTTTTAGTAATACTTCGCCGCGCCACAAATCCGGCAAAATATGCAATAGCATTTTCGTTATAATTGTTATCGATTTGATTTATATTTTCAATTTCTTCAAAATCATATTCCTCGAGAAGAATTTTAATATCTTCATCAAGTAATTCGCTTTCATGTTCAACATCACATTCTATAGTCGTATTACTCGTATTCATAACATTTTCTATCGTTTTAATGAGTTGGCTTGATTGATTGATGAGACTTTCACTCTCTGTACATTGAACATTACCTTTGTCGCTAGTTTGAATATATCCCGTGGAAAGTATATGCCTAATAGATAATCGGATCATTCTTACGGTTGGATTAGGATTAAAACCTCCACGTTGTCTCAATTTAGAAAACAAATGTTCGACAGAATCTTGATTACACAATCCTGTTGCAAGTTCAAATCCTTTATACTGAGTTGCAAGTATTTTATAAGTTGCAAGAATAGCCTGTATAGTATTATAACAAGACCTTTGAAACAAGGAATCTGAACTACGTTATCCGCTGATTTTGACCATCTTCAGCACCATTCCTTAAAATCTATTAATAGATTTTCAATATTCGGGTTTTTGGAGGATAATGGTCGTTTTCCGCCAAATATAATATTAAGGCTATAAGCGTTGCAAGCATCAATAACATTATTCAAACGCTTTGCAAAATCAGCTGTCGCTTCCAAGTAATTGTATTTAATTCTTTTTCATAGCCAGCTGTTTTTATTGCAGCTGCAAAAGTGTGACTAAATAATTGAAAAGTTCTTTTGACATTCATCGCTTCGAAAGTATTTGGACGAATATGTGCTTCTGTTATGTGGGACAGTAAATTTGAGCCTCCTTGTGTAGCATTGTGTTGTGTATTTGTTGTGTTTCGGAGTGCAAATTGTTGTATTTGTTAGTTAGTTTACGAATAATGTTTAATGTCGTTGTGTCTTGATAGTATGTCTTGATTCCATGAACAGTCCGGAGTAGTAGTAGAAGATTCGAGCACGTCGTTGTGTTCCGTACGCGTCGGCCACACCTATGCTTCTCCGACGGTCCGTCTCTCGGTCGGCTTTTTTATACCACCTTCCACTGTTGTGCCGTGTGCACAGTCGCTCGAGCGATTCTCCGAATTCCATCCGGTGCAGGTGCCCTTGGCTAAGAGATAAGCCGACCAGCGCGACTTCTAAGAAACGTATTTTCTAAGAAGCATATTTTAATGCTTGGCGCCTGTCAGACGGCGCAATATACTCAACATTCCTCCCTCAGTTTCTTGACGAAGTCTCATACGGATGCATCAGTTTCTCTCAAATTCGAATCTAGTTAAATAACGTTTTTTGTTAATGTGACTTGTGCAGTTTGCAAGATTATCGTCTATGCCTGTCTCCTGATTATTATTACATCGTATATACTTGATAAGGACCACAACCATATGGTCGAAACGTCGTATTAATAAACAAATTTCTGGCTAGTTTGGTCGACTACAATTTTTTTCAACGATCCTTGATTCCTCCCTTACTTAAGAATGCTGTCGTCGGTACGGGCGAGTTCCTCCCAATGCCTTGTAATCTGGTCGAATTCGATGCGAAAGTCGTTCAGAACGACGAGCCGCTGCTACTGGAGGTTGTGTGGCCCCGGAAAAATTTTCAGAACGATGAGCAGATGCTATTGGAAGTTGTGTGGTCCCGTTGTTGAGAGGTTCTGCCTCCTCTCTTTCTCCTAGGGAAGTGATCGTATTCATCATTTGCAGATTTCCGACGACTCCTGTATCATAGGTAATTAAGCCAAGCTCATCTATTGCTTGAGAGCTAAGTAGTGCAGTTTCTGGACGGTCAAGTACGATGACTTGTGCTTTTATCACACAGTCTTTGTAGCCAAGTGAGGCGTTAAAAAATCCTATGGTATGCAGTGGATGTCCTGAAACATTCATACATGAAATAGTAGTAAGAGGTTGGAGTTTTGGACGACCGATTCGTGTCCAAGTTTCTCTCCCGATTGTAGTGACGTCCGCTCCTGTGTCCAGCTGCATTTTCAATGGCTTGTTATTGATAGTAATGTGCGCGTATTTGCGATACCGATGTGCTGTGTCTAGAACACTTTCTAATGTGACAATATTTATTTTATTTCGTTGCTTCGATAAGCAAACTCTAGCAATGTGTCCCGTTTTCTTGCAGATTCTACATGCTGCATTCTTAAACGGACATGCATTCCGTTTGTGTTTCGTGGAACCGCAGCCATAGCATGGCGATAATGTAGCAGAATTTCTCTTTTTCTCGTAATGCAGTGTAATAGGATTTGTTTTCTTTTCGTAATATTTACTTTTCTTTTTAGGTGAATTCTTCGTAAATTGGCTGACCGCGTTGATTTCGGAGAAGCGCTGTCCTTCAACGCGCATGACGTCAGCCGTGCGGTTCGCATGTGCGTAGCAGATTTCGCTAATGTCTTGAAATGTGCAGTTTTCTTTTTCTGATACAACCTTGAAGAGGACTGTTCGCTCTGTGTAGTAGGTGTGGTCGCTTAGGACGAGAGCCGTTAGTAGAATTTTAAGCTGGTCGATATTGAAATTATTGAGCTCAAAGGCATCTCCTAGAACATTTACTTTGTCAAGTATTTCTATAGTCGTTGCTGGCGGGGAAGCACGAAAATTGAGAGCTTTAAAACGACGTTGAAATAACGTTTTATTATCATGGAACTGTTTTCGAAGATGTCGCTCGAGATCGCCAAGAGACATTTCCTGCGGTTTCTTCGGCGATAAACGACTGAGTAATTGTTGATACTCGTCGTCCCCGAGAGCATTAAGAAGTAGCTCTTTGCACTCCGTATCGGTTAAACCCTTCGTTCCTTCCGCGAAAGTGCTTCTATATCGTTCAAACCATAACGTGAACGTTTTACCCCTTGTAGAGTCATGAACGAATTTACCAAGCCGTGTAGCCAGATTTGCGAATTGCGACGACTTTGCAATATCGTCCGTTCCCGATATTCGATATGATAGTATCTCTGCCATTTGCTTTTGTGATTTACGAATTTGCTTTTGTGACTCACCGATCTGACGTAATGTGTGCTCCTGGCCTAACGCAGTTTCTACTAGCGCTTGAAGCAGTCGGTCCATTTTCTTGCAGGTTCAATAAGCCGCAGCGCCAATTGTTGTGTATTTGTTGTGTTTCGGAGTGCAAATTGTTGTACTTGTTAGTTAGTTTACGAATAATGTTTAACATCGTTGTGTCTTGATATTATGTCTTGATTCCATGAACAGTCCGGAGTAGTAATAGAAGATTCGAGCACGTCGTTGTGCTCCGTACGCATCGGCCACACTTATGCTTCTCCGACGGTCCGTCTCTCGGTCTGCTTTTTTATACCACCTCCCACTGTTGTGCCGTGTGCACAGTAGCCCGAGCGATTCTCCGAATTCCATCCGGTACAGGACATCGATCATGAATTTCACGTGAACTTTTTCATTGTTCATCTTTCACTATAATAAATATATTCATGTATATTCATGTATATTCAATATATAATAAATAATTTCATGTGAAAAATTTCATGTGAAAAATTCATAAAAAAAGAAAATATATGTAGTATTTTGTATGATTAATATAATATAACTTATTAACTCGTAAGTAATTTAGTATTAAAATATGCATTAAGTACCATTAATTTAATTATATATCATTATTTTTTTTCTTTCTATCTATGAATTTGTTGTCAGGTAAAAATTTTCACGTGAGCTATTACTTTGTAATATAGTCTTGTTAGATTTGTTGAAGTATGTTCTTTTTATGAGTAAATGCGAACATTCTCACGTAATTTTTTAACCATCAAACGACTTGGTTAAAATGTGAAAAATAATGTAACGTTAAGCATGCGCTTTGTGTAGTAAAAAATTCAAGTAATAATTCATCTAGTTATATTTGTTTCCTTTAGGTTATATCATAATTAGAAATATAATAACCTATTTACAATAATCAACTACAAAAAATAAGAGAAAGAAAGATTTAATAAATAAAGTATGTATAAACAGAGTAAGATTACTATAATTATATCTAATTCTTTGTGCAAATAATTTGTTTTATATTATATAATGTAATAATAATAAAAGTTCTTTAATAAAAATATAAATGGTCCCTGTTCGAAAACCGAAATATTATTTTTTAAAAAGAATCGCGCATTAATAAAATCAGCATTTATTAATTTGTAATCTCGAGAATTCGAATTTCAACGGGCATCGAGAAACTTCTCGCTTTTAGTTTTCGGACTTCGTCGCCGTTTCAGTTCCTGAAACATTGTACATTTTATTGTAAATACATTTCTTTATTTAATTGTGTGGTGTTCAAATAAAAACCTCAGAAACCAAAAAAATACGTGTCGTATGGAGTCTCTTTATTGCGTGAAAAGCCGTTTATGATCGTCTTCGTCGCGCTCTCTAAAATTCTGCGCTGTCGCGACAATCCGCGTTCATTCGCGAACAGTCCCTTTTTATGATTATTATTATAAAGTCACATATTTCAGATTAAATTATATTTATAACACGATATTTAATACAACACGATTATTAATACAATATAATATCAATTTTTTTAGAATGAATACAACACATAATCAAAAAAGAATATTACTTGAGTGGATAAAGTTACATCCCGAAGTGGCAAGAGGAAGATTGCGACGGAAAGGTAAAAGTAAACAAAAAATGGTAAATATTACTTGATAATCTTACTATAATAATCATTTTTAATAATGTAAAATGTATTAAATACATAAATATACAATTTCAGAAAGAATTATTAGAGGATATGGCAAATGTCATAAACACAGCGAATGAAGGTCCCATAAAATCTAGTTCGGAATGGTTAAAGATATTATAATTAATATTATTTGTTTTATTTTATTATAATTAATGTTTATAATTGTAATATATTAATCTTTTTTATCTTTGTATTTAAATTACTAACTAAAGCAAAATTTGCTTGTAAATATCATCATATTATGACATGTAAATTTCAGTAAAATACTACAAGTTAATACTACAAAATAACAATTTAATATTTTTATATTTGTAGACGTGGAAGGATTGGAAAATGTACGTACTAAAAAAAGAAACTATACGAAGAGCTCATCATCAAGGAATAGGTGGAGGATCTCCCATAAAAATATCTTTTTCAACATTAGAAGAAGGATTATTTGAATTTTTAACCCCGGAAGCAGCAGGATTAGAAAATATTCCGCAAGGAGGAATAAATTTAGATAAAGAAATTCTCAAGAAATATATTGTGATAATAATTCGGAACAAGTACAAAATTTAGAAACTGAAAATGTACCATTACATAAAAAATTATGTACAAGCAGTATGCCTTTAAATAATATGAATGGTATGCGATATTTGTGACATTATAATATATGATTAAATTGATTTAATTTTTAACATACTCTTAAGATTTTTTGATATTTAATATTTTTCAGATTCAAATACGAATTCAAAATCGATGTCTGTTAAAATGATAAATATTCAAGAAGAAAAACTATCTTAAAAAGAGAAGAATTAGATGTTCAACGACAACTTTTGGAGGTACAACGATCTACATTGATTGAAATACAAAAAATAAGAACTGGTCATGGATACATTTAGATCATTGCAATAAGATTTTTCATAAAAGGAGGTAAATATTTGATTAAAAATTTTAAATGTTTTTATTTATATAGCAGAATATCTAATCAAATAATTTTTCAAATAATTTTTTTTGTTACAGCACATGTAATGTTACAAAGTTGTGCACACTAGTTGTGCACTTCGTTTTGTGCATGTACTTTGTTTGTTTTTTGATTCTCAAGACTTTGTCAATTTAATAATTGATAGGAAGAACAAATGGCAATAGAGAGCGAATAAGTAGGTGAAAATTATAATAAAGAAAACAGTTATAATAATTTAATACAAAGAGACGCAAGAGGTGAGAATGTACAGAGTTTCATATAAATAGTCTGGAAACATATATAAAAGTAAAAATAAAAATAAAAACAAAAATAAATATAAATAAAAATAAAAATAAAGATAGCGGACGTTTCGGCTCTTGGTTCGAGCCTTCTTCAGCGCAAAGATATAATATTAATAAATAATACGGGACATACAATGAATCATAATTATTAAAACGAAGAATAAATATAAGTTATGACGAGATCGCAGAGACGTAACGTTAATAATCGCTTGTCAAAAATATTGGTCTTCATGGTAAAAAAATATGTGGAAGCCTTTATTACGCGAATGTAACAGAAGTAGAACAGTGGCTCGACAACAGTACCAAGTGCAGTCTAAAATTGGCACCGACAAATTATAGATATTAGTATTATAAAAGGATGAAAAAAATAAAAGTACTTACTAAGACACTGTTCTACTATGGAACCAAAGATGGAAAGCATACAGCAAGCTTCAAACATAAAATCGGTTACTGTCAAAAATGAAAGTGAGAGGCACTTATATATGCTCCAACGTGACTTTCATATTTTCGGTAGTTTGTTTATAATGTCATGATACAAAGACGATAAACTTTCTGTGTCTGTCTGCAAATTTAAACCATTCTTCTGTCTTTTTATAAAGAGCATTTCTGAGATGAGTCTTCTATTATAAAAAGAAGTCTCATCAAGAACCTGAACGTCATTCCAACGAAAATCATGATCTCCTTGCAGTCTATGATTAGTAATGACAGAGCGAGTAAGATTTTTATTAATATGTGATCTATGCTCTGAAATTCTTGCCTTTAACATCCTCGATGTTTGGCCGATATATGAGGCATCGCAATCGGAACAGTTAATCTTGTAGACTACGTTTGTTTTAGAGTTGGTGGGAATATAGTCTTTATGAACTTTAATAAACTTGTTTAGTTTATTCAGGCTGGTATAGGCAAGTTTTACGTTCAAGTTGTTTGTAACACCTCTGAACTGCTCAGTGACACCCGGCAGATATGGAACTGTAAAAAACGTGGAGGAATCGTTTGATGCACTATGATCATTGCGAACACGACCATTAATCAAAAATCTTAGCCGTTGATTCATGACTTGAAAAACAAGGCTCAGAGGATATCCATTGTCCAGAAGGATCCTTACAACAAGGTCAAGATTCTTATAGTGAAAAGTCGGATGCGATAAAGAGAAAATCCTGTCCACGAGACCGATTATCGTGCCCTTCTTTTGGCAAAGTGGATGTTGAGAGAAATAATTCAGATATCTGCCCGAAAATGTGGATTTGTGAAACCAGTCAAATATTAGAACGTTATTATTAACAATTATAGTTACGTCCAAGAAGTTGATTTTTCTGTCAACCTCTAGTTCATAAGTAAATTGCAATCTGTCATGGGAGGAATTAAAAATGGAAAGAGTCGAGTCAATTGAGTCTGTAGGAACAGTCATTAAGATGTCGTCAACATATCTAAAATAAAATCGTGGAGTAAATCTTAATATATTCCATGCTTTCTCTTCTAAGTCCTGTAAAACTATGTCAGCTATGATAGGTGATATGGGAGATCCCATGGGGGTGCCGAAAGTTTGCTTATAAAAAATGTTATTGAAAGTAAAAAAATTGGAGTTTAATACTAGTCTAACTGCATTTAAAAACTCAAATTCCGGCAAACCACATGTGTTCTGAATAAATCTCCATCTGCTCGAGACGCTGGAAAGAGCCAGATCAACCGGAATATTCGTGAACAGGGAAGTCACATCTAGTGAAATTAACACAGAATCGTCATCAATGTGAATATCAGCTAATTTATGTACTAGATCGAAACTGTTATTTATGTGACTAGGAGCGATAGGAAAGTTCTTAATCATGACCTTGTGCAAAAATAATGCAAGGGAATAGAGAGGGCTATTAATAGATAAGACGATGAGTCTGAATGGAATGTTAGTCTTATGGATTTTTGGCAAACCATAAGCTCTAGGTAAAGTCCCATCGGTAAACAGAAGAGATTTGTAAATGGCATTAGAGATGTAGCCATGATTTTTCCATCTCGATAATAGCCCTCGTAAGCTAGAAATCAGTTTTTTTGTAGGGTCCTTCTTAATTATTGTATAAGTATTCTCGTCTCCAAGCAATTGCTGAACCTTGTTTATATAGTCCATTCTACCAAGTGCCACCGTAACATTCCCCTTATCTGCGCGTGTAAGGATGAGATCTTTATTCTTTTGTAGGAAATTTTTTGTAATTGAATAGAGGCGTGTCAACCATTCATTCTGTGAATTTCTAGGATAAGAAAAAGAAGGGATGTTTTTAATCACTGATTTCGATTTGTCTCTAATAGAAATTCTTAATTCCGGAGAAAGCTTCATTAAGTTGCATTCAATGTGTTTTATGAATTCCGTAGTTAAATTGGGAATGTTAATGTGAGGAAGACTAAAATTCTCCCCAAGTTGTAAGAAACTTTGAATTTCCGGAGGAATATATACGTTCGATAGATTGACAAACCATTTATCTTTAATCTCATTCAAATTAGAATGTGAATTTGTATATATGTTAGGATCAATTAGAATTTCACAGATATTATTTAATGGTAAATTGTTCCTATTGAATGACCATTTAAAGCGCTGTAATGAGGCAGAATCATTATCAAGAATCGAAGGATGTAGATGACAATAATAGTGAATCGGTTTGAGACTATTTATACTGCGTTGTTTTGAAAGCAAGAAATTAAATTTTTTGTTTAGTCTGTAATTATTATTCAGGTAAAAGCAAAATAAAGGGCGGCTTTGACTATTGAAAAAATAATTACAGACAGACACAGGTAAATTTCTATAGATATCTGCACATAAATGGAACATTCTCTCATAGCTTTTTCTAATGAAAAAATAAGTATCCCTAAGTTCAATACGTATTAGTTTATTGCGAAAAGTCTGTAACATGTTATTAAATAAAAGATTAGATCTGTGATTATGATAAGAAAATTTAAAATTTGACAGTAACCGGTCTATATGCAACGGAAAGATATTATGCGCAATACATCGTCTTAAAAAATTGATCTTGATTCTATTAGATATAATGGATTTCCGAAGCCTGATCCATGATTTAAGAAGTTTAGTGGCTTCGTGGCTGTAATTTACATTAATGTACCGGAAGAAAGAATTTGAACAATGTCGCATATTTCAGCCGGCGTAAATTTAACAAATGTTGTGAATAGCTCTCCTAAATTTAATAATTGATAGGAAGAACAAATGGCAATAGAGAGCGAATAAGTAGGTGAAAATTATAATAAAGAAAACATCTAGTACATAAATTAGCTGATATTCACATTGATGACGATTCTGTGTTAATTTCACTAGATGTGACTTCCCTGTTCACGAATATTCCGGTTGATCTGGCTCTTTCCAGCGTCTCGAGCAGATGGAGATTTATTCAGAACACATGTGGTTTGCCGGAATTTGAGTTTTTAAATGCAGTTAGACTAGTATTAAACTCCACTTTTTTTACTTTCAATAACATTTTTTATAAGCAAACTTTCGGCACCCCCATGGGATCTCCCATATCACCTATCATAGCTGACATAGTTTTACAGGACTTAGAAGAGAAAGCCTTGAATATATTAAGATTTACTCCACGATTTTATTTTAGATATGTTGACGACATCTTAATGACTGTTCCTACAGACTCAATTGACTCGACTCTTTCCATTTTTAATTCCTTCCATGACAGATTGCAATTTACTTATGAACTAGAGGTTGACAGAAAAATCAACTTCTTGGACGTAACTATAATTGTTAATAATAACGTTCTAATATTTGACTGGTTTCACAAATCCACATTTTCGGGCAGATATCTGAATTATTTCTCTCAACATCCACTTTGCCAAAAGAAGGGCACGATAATCGGTCTCGTGGACAGGGTTTTCTCTTTATCGCATCCGACTTTTCACTATAAAAATCTTGACCTTGTTGTAAGGATTCTTCTGGACAATGGATATCCTCTGAGCCTTGTTTTTCAAGTCATGAATCAACGGCTAAGATTTTTGATTAATGGTCGTGTTCGCAATGATCATAGTGCATCAAACGATTCCTCCACGTTTTTTACAGTTCCATATCTGTCACTGAGCAGTTCAGAGGTGTTACAAACAACTTGAACGTAAAACTTGCCTATACCAGCCTGAATAAACTAAACAAGTTTATTAAAGTTCATAAAGACTATATTCCCACCAACTCTAAAACAAACGTAGTCTACAAGATTAACTGTTCCGATTGCGATGCCTCATATGTCGGCCAAACATCGAGGATGTTAAAGACAAGAATTTCAGAGCATAGATCACATATTAATAAAAATCTTACTCGCTCTGTCATTACTAATCATAGACTGCAAGGAGATCATGATTTTCGTTGGAATGACGTTCAGGTTCTTGATGAGACTTCTTTTTATAATAGAAGACTCATCTCAGAAATGCTCTTTATAAAAAGACAGAAGAATGGTTTAAATTTGCAGACAGACACAGAAAGTTTACCGTCTTTGTATCATGACATTATAAACAAACTACCGAAAATATGAAAGTCACGTTCGAGCATATATAAGTGCCTCTCACTTTCATTTTTGACAGTAACCGATTTTATGTTTGAAGCTTGCTGTATGCTTTCCATCTTTGGTTCCATAGTAGAACAGTGTCTTAGTAAGTACTTTTATTTTTTTCATCCTTTTATAATACTAATATCTATAATTTGTCGGTGCCAATTTTAGACTGCACTTGGTACTGTTGTCGAGCCACTGTTCTACTTCTGTTACATTCGCGTAATAAAGGCTTCCACATATTTTTTTATCATGAAGACCAATATTTTTGACAAGCGATTATTAACGTTACGTCTCTGCGATCTCGTCATAACTTATATTTATTCTTCGTTTTAATAATTATGATTCATTGTATGTCCCGTATTATTTATTAATATTATATCTTTGCGCTGAAGAAGGCTCGAACCAAGAGCCGAAACGTCCGCTATCTTTATTTTTATTTTTATTTATATTTATTTTTGTTTTTATTTTTATTTTTACTTTTATATATGTTTCCAGACTATTTATATGAAACTCTGTACATTCTCACCTCTTGCGTCTCTTTGTATTAAATTATTATAACTGTTTTCTTTATTATAATTTTCACCTACTTATTCGCTCTCTATTGCCATTTGTTCTTCCTATCAATTATTAAATTTAGGAGAGCTATTCACAACATTTGTTTGTCAATTTATTTTGTATTTATTATTATTATTTTGTATTTATGTTATTTAGATATAAGATTTTTTTACGTAACTAGATGTAATAAAAGTATTTTGTTTCTTTAAAATAGATTATAAGTGACACTTGTGATACATAACTAGATGTAACAAAAGTATTTTATTTCTTTAAAATAGATTATAAGTGACACTTGTGATACATAACTAGATGTAACAAAAGTATTTTGTTTCTTTAAAATAGATTATAAGTGACACTTGTGATACATAACTAGATGTAACAAAAGTATTTTATTTCTTTAAAATAGATTATAAGTGACACTTGTGATACATAACTAGATGTAACAAAAGTATTTTATTTCTTTAAAATAGATTATAAGTGACACTTGTGATACATAACTAGATGTAACAAAAGTATTTTGTTTCTTTAAAATAGATTATAAGTGACAGTTGTGATATATAACTAGATGTAATAAAACTATTTTGTTTCTTTAAAATAGATAAGTATTATGATACATATAAACGATGTCTTATTTAATTAAATAAAAAAAAATGAAAAATATTATTTTATTATTATATATATAATAGAATTTAATCAAATAAATATAATCTTTTACGATATTTAATAATTATAATCTTTAACGATATTTTCAATTAAAATCTTGTTGTATAATTCGTTCTCGAATTTCATTGTCATTTAAATTTTCTTCTACATTGTATATTTCAAGATTTCTTTCCCTTTCATCTAATTCATCAAAATATATTTCCGGTTGCGAGACATTGTAATGTTTTTCATCTAATTCATCAAAATATATTTCCAGTTGCGAGACATTGTAATGTTTTTCAATATTTTGAACTGCAACATGCATTTACAATAAGAGCTAAAATAAATTCTATAAATTAATATTCTCAAATATTTTAAAAACATGTAGTTGCTATATATGTAAATTACAAATTACACTACCAGAGAATTCTGGCGAGTAATGCAAAGCTCTTTCCTTCCTCAGGCATTTCCATCTTCCCTTCAACATTCCAATGGCTCGTTCTACACATGATCGAGCTCTTACGTGAGCATTAGTATAACGAGCAGAAGGTGATCCTTCTGATTGCCTTAATTTTGATGTCATCAAGTAGCGTAGTAGGGGATATCCGGAATCTCCTATAATATCAAAATTATAACACTTTATTTGTACATATATATATTACCAACATTAAATTTTTTTAAATTAATAACTAAAAAAAATTATACACATTTGTAATTTATAATAAACTTAAAATAAGTTTAAATACTATTATGTTTTAAATTAATAACAATCTTTTAATAGAGAGAGAGAGAGAGAGAGAGAGAGAGAGAGAGAGAGAGGAGCTTTACCTAATAACCAAGTATTTATTCGTCCATTTTGAAACTGCTGTTCTAAATGTATCGAAATATGGGAAGCAATCCAAACGCGTGCATCGTGAGTCCTTCCTCCATGACCACTGTTTACAGCAAGTATTTTTCCATTTAAATCACTGACCTTAAAAAATATTTTTAAAAAATGTTATATATTTTTTTTATGATTATACTTTTACTATTAAAACAAAAAATGGATGAAGTTCCGAATAGGTGAATCCTCCGATTTATTTGAGACTATACTATTTTTTTGTATTTTTGTGCGCTGATTACGAATATGATAATGAAAATTTGCGACTAGGTCATTTTCAAGGTCAAAACTCCAAAAAATTGAAAAAAATATCACTTTTTTGACATTATTTCGATAAATATTCATGTATTAAAAAAATGTTTCAAATAAAAGTTGTAGTTCTTGTAAAAATATATCATTTATGTCCTATACATTTTTTGCATAAAACTGATAGTTTTCGAAAATAATAGATAAAAGAAAAGATCCTCTCTCTTTGCACTAAGAAACATGAAAGAAAACATTAATATATTCTTCGTTCTCAGCCAAGCCCGGAGTCAACGACTAGGACGTGACAAAGAACTGACACCATTTTTTTTATTTTTATACTTTTTTTTGTATTTTTGTATTTTTTAATTTTTTTGTATTTTTGTATTTTTTAATTTTTTTTACATTTTTTTTCTTGTATAGAATTTATATTTATTAAATCTTCGCCTTACTAAAAATCTGATGAGTCTAAAATATACTAAAAATAGATACAGAAAAGATTAGCAAAACCCCTACGCAAGGTGTGTGTGCGTATAGAATTTATATTTATTAAATCTTCGCCTTACTAAAAATTGATATTAAAATATACTAAAAATAAATACAGAAAAGATTAGCAAGACCCTTACGCAAGATGTGTGTGCGTATAGAATTTATATTTATTAAATCTTCGCCTTACTAAAAATCTGATGAGTCTAAAACAGAGCTCGGCAAGAACTGCACATTTCGGCCGATTTTCAGCTGGCTCCGCCTAGCGCGTCCCCCCTTACCTCGCCGTCCCGCGCAAAGCCTACGAGCCGCTCGGCGCTCAGGAGCGGGCGTATGGCAATAACTTTCCATGTCACCCATGAGGTACTATTGTTGACGCGTTTTTTTGAAGTGGTATCCTCAGTAGACCTAATCCACTGATGAAACGACCCTTTAACTAATTGCACGGAATTATAAATAATAATTGATATGATGAATATTTATGACTTTCGGGATTTTTTACAAGCGAGATCAGGAACATTTATTTGCATACGGCATGTAGCGAATCGCATAAGACGTGATAAACTTTATCGTCTTATGTAATTAGTTAAAGAGTCATTTTAATCATCAGTGGATTAGGCCTACTGGGGATACCACTTAAAAAAAAAACGCGTCGATAATAGTATGGGTGACGTGGAAAGCTATTGCCATACGCCCGCTCCTGAGCGCCGAGCGACTCGTAGGCTTTGCGCGGGACGGCGAGGTAAGGGGGGACGTGCTAGGCGGAGCCAGCTGAAAATCGGCCGAAATGTGCAGTTCTTGCCGAGCTCTGGTCTAAAATATACTAAAAATAGATACAGAAAAGATTAGCAAGACCCCAACGCAAGGTGAAAAGCATATTACGTTTAAAAGTTATTTTAAATTCTTATAATAGATATTAGCTATATCATAGGCGGGGGGACTTCGCCCCCCCTGTACCCCCTTTTCCTGCTCCTACATTTGCCCCTCGGGGGGCTTCGCCCCCCAAACCCCCCTATAATATGCCCCCGACCTACATTGTCCCCAAGTCGTTTTAACCCCAGAGTCTTTTGTCCAAATTATTTCATCCCCAGAGTTTTTTCGAAGGAGCTTCTGTGTACAATTGAACGATGTGCAACTTTCCGTGTATACCTGAGCGGTGTGCAACTTAGCAGTGTGCAAATAATTGGTATCCAAGTGCGCCACTCCCAACTTAACATATACCGTCATTTACCTATTTACCACTAATTTTAGTCTTTAACGTCGATTTTCTCGAAAATTTTTAATTTTACGCGAAAAATGTATAGAACATAAATGATATATTTTTACAAGAACTACAACTTTTGAAACATTTTTTTGATACATGAATATTTATCGAAATAATATCAAAAAACTGATATTTTTTGCAATTTTTTGGAGTTTTGACCTTGAAAATGACCTAGTCGCAAATTTTCATTATCATATTCGTAATCAGCGCACAAAAATACAAAAAAATAGTATAGTCTCGGAGGGTTCACCTATTCGGAACTCCACTCCAAAAAATTTTTGATTCATATACTATTAAAACGTTCAATGAATGATAAAGTTTTCGATTAATATATAGATGTTCCCGTTCTGTATTTGGAGGCCAAATTGCAACATGAGTACCGTCGATAGCCCCTATTACACCTGGAAATCTATAATGAACTCAAAATCTAAAATATGAATAATAAAAATAGTAAATCAAAACAATTTTTTGTTGTAATAAAAACTACATAAAATATTAAACAAACTGTCTTTTAACAGATTCGATATCACGATGTTCTGTTGGAAATTTAATCCAATTTCTCATAATCCGATTCAGTGCTTCTACGACACTATGAATTCATCCCGATATTGATGCTTGGCACATACTAGATAAAAAATCCTGACCGATTCGCCGTTGGTATGAACCAGAAACAAAAAAATTCAAAGTTGCTAAAATCTAAATATAAAATAAAAATATTTGTTTAATTAATATATTCAAAATCTTACAAAAGATAAAAATATAATAAATTAATAAATTAACAGTTTATCAATTATTATATTCCTTTGATAAGTAAAGTACCTTCAACTCAGAGAGAATTGCTGTTGATTTAATACTTTGTGGCATATACGGATGCAACTCCATACATAGTTGCATTACCGCCTCTCGAGATAATCTAAAAATTTGCATTCGTAAGGTATATCAATTAAAAAGAATTGTATATACATAATTTTTATTTAAATAAACTTAAAAATAAAAAAACCATTTGATATAATAAATATACACATAACCTATTCAATCAATAAAAAGGATATGAAAATTATAATAATAAATAATAATAATTATTACCTGTATATTTCTTGAAATCTTCTTTCCGGAATGTCGAAAGGATTTTGAGTATCGCGTAAAAATTTTCGTACAATACGAAAATTATTTCTTCCGTTTCTGTTTTCTTCGTTAAAAATAACATACCATGCAGCTGCCATTTCGAACGACTCAGCATTTCACATAAAATTTTCATTTTTCACGAGTTTAAGTAAAATTTTCTACTTTTCATGAATTTACTTAAAAGTTTTCACTTTTCTTCACTTTCATTAATTTACGCTAGGGGAAAAGATTCATGATCGATCTCCAGGTGCCCTTGGCTAAGAGATAAGCCGGTCAGCGCGACTTCTAAGAAACGTATTTTCTAAGAAGCATATTTTAATGCTTGGCGCCTGTCAGATGGCGCAATATACCCAACACATTGTCAATAGACCATGTCATTTCAAAAACAGAATATGATGCGATCACTTTTCCATCGCAATAAATTTTTTCATGTGTTCTAAGGCAGCTTGCTAATCTTTTTATCAAATGAGGAAAATCAAAAGATGCGTTATATTTTTTTTCATTATATATAAAAAATGGCCTCATCGTATTAATTCCGAGTTGAGAATAAGCGCTTTGATTACATGTACCTTGATCGCATGTTACAAGTTGTACATCAGTACTTGTTGCATTCAATCTGTCTAAATATTCTTTCAATAATATTATTATCTCTTCTGCTTTCATGCATTTTCCCGGGAGGAAATATGCTAAAGGCTGTCGCCATGGATGACGCGCATTTAAACTGTCTAGACAAAATACAAATACGCATTTAGATCTTTCTGATTTTCTTCCTAGAGGTCCAAGATCAATAAGACCTTCTATTTTATCTAGATTTCGCGAATATTCTTCATAAGGTTTTATGGCCATTTCGTCTCATTTTAAGGCACATACTCTTTCCTCCATTGGTATTTAGGAAATCTTTTCCTTCAATTTTTGAAATACAAAGTCACAAAATTCTGGCCTTATATCATATTCTTCCAGCCATCTTTTGATAGTTCGCTGCCCGGGAAAATTACAACCTCCTTTTCTTAAGCGACAAAAAGCAGCAGCTGAATAATAATACAATTGCCTTGATAGATTTTTCTCTTCTTCTGTATACGGTGCATTGGGTATGTACAACTGCAAATTTATCATCGCCTTTGCAACAGGATGTAAATCTTGTTCATTTATCAATTTTTTAAATATTTTCTTTTTCTGTTTATCCTTTTTCGGTGTTTGACATGTTTGTGGAATATGACGTAAATGATATTTTCTTATATACTTTCGCAATTTTATATTTTCAGATTTTAGAGATTGAATTGTTGCATATAGTTCATTTATTATTATTTTATTATCTTTTCTATTATTTTTTTCTGTATTAGTTTTTGTATTATCTTTTGTACTTCTTATATTCTTATTTATAGTATTTGTATTTATTATATCAGATGGAAGAGGTATAGGGACTCTTTGATGCATAGGCTCAAGATGCATCCATTCCATAATATTTTCCTCTTCAATGCAAGTATCAAAATATAAATGTCGTGGCTGATAACATCGCAGCGAACATTGTTGTATATGCTCAGTCTCATTAAAAATAGACTTAAATAATGTTGATGCGACGTTTTTTTCTATTGATTGAATTAGTTCTTCTCTTGCTTCTTGTAGATGAAGCACTTGTTCAATTTTCACGTTTTTATGTACTTCATTATTTTCTACATTACTTTCATTATTTTCATTATTATCTACATTAATATAAAACTCGAAAGGAATCGACATATTATCTTCATTACTTACATTCATATTATATGAAATAGGCACTGCGTTGCGTTTCAATCCTTTGGTATTTGTAAATGATTTTTCAGAAAAATGGTCTTCACATAATCCCGCACGTCGAAGAGAACTTGCACGCCATTTTTCTAATTTCGTATTTCCTATAAGAAAAACAAAATAAAAGAAAATTTTAAAGTTATATTTACATACTCGTTCAAATATAGTATTCTACACATGTATTACATTAAAAATTTTTATAATTAAAATTTCACTTTTTTTCATGATAAAAAAACAATATCACCAACACAACCAATATGGAACATTACAAAATATTTATTTTTAAATATAAATAATAGAAACAATATATGATCAGACGCACGCACACACACACACACACACACATATACAGAATGTTCCATTTTAATTATGCACCTTGATTAACATCGCAGAAAATGGTCAGATGAAAAAATGTTTTCGACAAAAATTGTTAGATTTTAAAGGGGACGTAAAATTATGTTATTGGTTTGGCCTTGAGTGAATGTGTCAGTCATATCAAGTTTAACTTGGTTTTTTTAGTTGAAACTATATTTTTTATTGCCAATTTTTTTACCTTACAATGAGAGCTTTTCAAAACATTATAATAAATATTTCCATTAAGTGCTTTCCAAATAATATGTAACTGTACTTTCCAAGTAATATGTAACTGTTGTAATATGTAACTGTTAATTACAAATTACAAATTTTTTTCTTAAAACAACGATGTGTTTTCGAACAACTATGTGTTTTCTGTACACCAACTGATTTCTTTCATTATTTTATAAAAGTATTGAGATAAGATCATAGAAAAATAAATATTTTACGAGATATTTAATAGTTTATGTAAAATTAAGAAATTATCACTTCAAGCTTCACAACTCCGAAAGCACTTAATGGAAAGATATTTTATTATTATGTTTTGAAAAGCTCTCGAGATAAGCTACAAAAATAGACAATGAAAAATAGAAAATTCCATTTAAAAAAAAAGGTGAACTCCATATGATCTTCGTATATCCACTCAAGGTCAAACTCAATGACACCTTCTTATGTCCCCCTCAAAATTCAACAATTTTTGTGTAAAACTATTTTTAATCCGACCATGTTAATCAGGATGCACAATTAAAATAAGACACTCTACACACACACACACACACACACACACACACACACACACACACACACCATATATACGAGTATATATATGTTTGTATGTAAATAAATAAAGATACACAATGTGTATTACATTAACTGTTATAAAATGTTTTTTCGGAATTATTGAAAATAATAAAGAAATTATTAAAAATGTCAGACTCACGAATATAAAATTAAATATATAAATTGGTACAAATAGCAATATAAGTCTAGTGTTGATATTGTTACCGTTATTTATTGTATAAAAAACAATCATATAAAAACATTCATTTAATAAATATACATATAAATGGATTGCGAACGTTTCGACCCTATTTTTGTCATCTTCAATTCAAATGTAAACAGACTAAATAATAATACAGTAGAATTGTTACATTACTGGAGTTAAGTGTGTAGGACTAAAATAAAGAAATTTATTATTATATATTTAATAAAGAAATAATAAAGAAATTTTTATTGCTTTTATGGCCTGTTGGAATATTTCAAACGACAAACGAAATATTGTCATTAATTTCTTAAAAGAAGACTAAATAATATAACATCTTAATTTTTTAAATGGAATATAAATCTTTTGCATTTTTGAATAAATATCTTTTATGACAATATTCTTACTTAAAAAGTTTTTTCATATTTTGCATAATTAAAGAATTACAAAAAAATATTATCAATAACTTGAAAAAGAAACCATACATATTTATACAAAATTATTTATTTTATTTCACAATATATATTACAAGAAATGTTTTAATAAATATTATTATTTTATTTATAAATTAAGACAAAACAATTAAAAAATCATTTTTCACAAAAGAGATCATTTTTTTAGTTAATTAAATAACAATTATTTTACGTTTTTAAAGTGATTGATGATAATATCCTATTTGTCATACTCGAGTCATAATAATTTTAATATTTTCTTGTTATTTTTAATAGTTTCAGAAAAAATATCTCATGTGATTATTGTGTACAATTAAAAATTTTTCTATAAATATAGTTCTGTGCAGTAAAAAAATATTACAAAATAAATATTAAAAAATATAATAAAAAGAAAAAGAAAAGAGGGAGAGAGAAAGGAAGTGTAATAAAATTTTACAATTACGAAAAAATAAAATTGAAATTTATATATTTTATATTTTAAATATACATACATATTAAGTGATAATAGTAATTGTTACTATTGTGATAGTTGTAATTGTTACTTAATATAGTTCTTTTATGACATATACATGTTTTAAAATTTTAGGTTTTAATTAAAATAATTAATATTAATGCCTCCGCCTCGATTTCCTCTTCCCCGTCCTCTTCCTCTTCCTTTTCTACCTCGCATCCCGCGCCATCCTCCTCGTCCTTTCATCGCCATAATTATGGCGGAATTAATAAGCTTTCCGAGCTCTTCTTTCTGAAACATAAAATACAAATGTGTGTGTGATACAATAATTAATAAATATAAGAGATATATAACAAATGTTAGACATGAATTTAATATAATTAAATATTAACTTTCTTCTCTCAGTTCTTCTCTAATGTGTTTTTTGTAATATTTTATACAAATTGTAGATATTTTTAAACTATCGATTTGCAAAATCATAAATAAAAGTTTCTTGCATGGTACGCAAACAATGCAAGAAATAATTATACAATTATTTATGTGATTTTGCAAATCGCTACAATTGAATATTTTCATAAAACTTCTGTTATTAATCGATGTAAATGTACGATTATAAGTTAATATTCTAACAATTTTTCTACGAACAACATATGAAATCATAGACATTATATATATATCCAGATAGCAAAATGCTAGCAGTATGCCAGCAGTATAACAGCAGATTCAATCATGAATTTGCAGCAGATATCGCTCAGCTGTATCCTCATTAAGTTTCTTTTTTCCCAACATGATGTGTCAATATGATGTGATGGCAGAAATGCAGCAGAAATGAAGCACAGTGTACCGTCATGATATGACAGCAGAAATTGAGCAGGATCTGCGCGTGCAATTTGATGTTAGATTGTCAGCAGAAATTGAGCAGAATCTGCGCATGTAACCTGATGACAAATTGAGCAGAAACTTTACAAGATTTGCGTTTACTTTTATTAATGTTATATAAATGCAACAAAATGGATTATTACAGGTGCTAAATAACAATATTATCGGCAAGTTAATTAGAATTTTCTTAGAAAATGACATATATGTAATATATTATATCGTAATTATATCTCATATAGCGAAGGACTAATTCAATTTAATTAAATTAATAATAAAGTAAATGATAAAAGTAAATGTAACTTGTAAAACTTGAGATGTAATTTATTTAGAATTAAATTCTTGCTTTATGCCTCAAATAG